CGGTGCGCGGCAGTGGTGGCAGCAACTGTGCATGCAGCAGCAGGCTGCCCTGCACACCCACTGCAGCGCCTAGCCCCTTGAAACTGCCGTCGAGGGAGCAGACGCCAGGATGCAAGCACTGGGCAGCTCCCACGCCAGCTCACCGCGACTTGCCCCCAAATGGTGACCCTGGTCATCATGCCGGCGTGGTGCTTGAACAGGTGGATGAAGGCCACGCCCAGCCCCAGCGCCAGCAGCGCCGACACCAGCAGCCAGCGGCCGGTGAGGTGCATGAAGGCGCTGAAGCTCCAGTCGCCCTTGCCCTCCTCCGCCATCGCCTCCAGCAGGCGGCGGTGGGCCTCGTTGGGGGTGTAGGGGCAGCTGGTGGGGTCGGTGTAGTCGGTGCGGATGAAGGCAGGATTCCTGCGGCGGTGGCAGAGGCGACACACGCCGAGATGCATGGATCATCAGAGTGGCCAGCAGTGGCGGTGCGGCGGCCGAGGGCATAGCCGCGGGCTAGGGACGCGGTGCCGGCCGGCGGCCGACGGTGGCGTGCCGCACCTGTGGGTGATGGCGTAAATGCCTCCTACGATGGCCGCCGCCCACACCAGGCCGAACAGCACGCCCCACAGCCGATCCCGCGGCACACGGCTGTACGCAAAGTGGGCCGCCGCGCCAGATGGCGGCGTGGGCGGGTCCCGCCAGTCCTTGCCCATCTTTCGCCGCCGGGGGTCTGCACCCGTCTCGCGGTGGCCTCTCAGGGGCTGGTCAGGCTGGAGGGGAAGTGTCTGGCGTGATCAGGGCGAACGCGTAGAGGGTTCGGGACGCTGGTCGAGCTGCGCTGAGGGCCGAGCCTTGCGTGATCTTGGTGGCAGCACGGTCGAAATCGGGCTGGAAAACACAAAAGGCTTCGGAGGGCGGCTTGGACCTGCTGCTATGCCTCTGCCTCAGCACAGCAGGCCAGATGGCCAGATGTCAGGATAGGGGGGCTCGCGCAACCCGGCCCCTGCAGCACCGGCACACACCCGGGGCAGCGTGTGGTTGTCATCAGGCTTGTGCGCTTCCGCAACCACACAGGCGCCATGGCGGCCAGCTTGGGTAGCTTGTGCAGCTTCACCGGCACCACTGCGGCCTTGCAGACTACCGGCAGCAGGCAGGCACGCAATGTGCGTGCCAGGGTAGCCGTGACCGCCCAGGCGGGGCAGGAAGGTGAGGCCAGAGGTGGTGCGAGAGTTGCTGTTAGCCGTTTGGCTCGATAAGGGCCTCGGCAGGAGCGGCGGGGCTGATCCTGGCGTGCTGGAATGCCGCAGAGCCCCTGATGGTGCGTGCTGCTCGCGGCGAGGCCATTGAGCGGGCGCCATGCTGGTGAGGCGGGTGGCGGCGCCTGGCAGGCTGCTGCAGCTGCGTTTGTGGTGTGCTTCCTACTGTGCCGTTTGCTGGGTGCATGCTTCTGGAGCTGGCATGCATTGCATGCGGCACGCTTGTGTGCCTACAACCATAGCGTTTGCCATGGCTGCCTACCTGCACACCGCTGCTCGTGGGCTGTCGTGCGGCACACTGCCTGCCGCCCAACATCACCCGTGCCTGTGCCCTGCCCTGCCTGCACGTGCGCTGCTCGACTGCGCAGGATGATGCGGCAGGCGGGGCGGTACCAGAAGGCGTACCGTGACCTTGCCCTCAAGCACCCCTCCTTCCGCGAGCGCTCCGAGAACACAGACCTGATTGTGGAGATCAGCCTGCAGCCCTGGCAGTCGTTCACGCCGGATGGCGTCATCATCTTCAGGTGCGCACCCGGCAGCACGGCAGCGGCAGCGGCAGCATCTGGGATGTCTGCGCAGCTCTACGCAGGGCGAGACGCTGGTGCACGCCCGTGCTCTTCCATCCCGTTCTCTTGCCTCCCGCTCCCCGTCGCCGCTCCAACGACTGCCGCTCACGCTGCCCGCATCGCCGACCTGCCCCCGCAGCGACATCCTGACGCCGCTGCCCGCCTTTGGCATCCCGTTTGAGATTGACGACAACAAGGGGCCGCTGCTGGACAACCCCATCCGCAGCACGGAGCAGCTCAAGCAGCTGCACGCCATCGACCTGCAGCAGCTGAGCTTTGTGGGGGAGAGCCTGGGGCTGATCCGCCAGGAGGTGGCGGGGCGGGCCGCTGTGCTGGGCTTTGTGGGCTGCCCCTGGACGCTGGCCACGTACGTGGTGGAGGGCGCCTCCTCCTCCATCTACAAAAACATCAAGACCATGATGTTCAACGGTGAGGCGGGGAGGGCGCAGGGGGAGCGTGGGCGGGGAGAGGATGCGGCTGCTGCCCTGCGCACGATGGCGTGAATTGTTGGGTTGGAGATCGCGCGCCGCACATGGGCGCGCAGCCCACCAGCGGGCACCCCCCCCCAAAACCACCGCTGCCGCCACGTGGCTCCCCGCCCGCCCCCGCCTTTCCCTCCCGCAGAGCCGCAGCTGCTGGACTCCCTGCTGAGCCACATCGCCGACCAGATTGCCGAGTACGTGAAGTTCCAGATTGACAGCGGCGCCGACTGCATCATGATGTTTGACTCGTGGGGCGGCCAGCTGCCGCCCAAGCAGTGGGACCGCTGGTCGCGCCCCTACGTCGAGCGCATCGTGCGGCAGGTGAAGGCCACGCACCCGCGCACGCCGCTCACGCTGTACGCCAACGGCAGCGGCGGCATGCTGGAGCGCATGGGGCAGACGGGCGCGGACGTCATCGGGCTGGACTGGACGGTGGACATGGCAGACGCGCGGCGGCGGCTGGGCGCAGGCGTGGCGGTGCAGGTGGGAAGGCAGGGGGGACGGCTGGGTGCGCTGGCTGCGCTGCACTGGGCTGGCTGCCGGAGGGCTAGCTGGAGGACAGCTGGGTGCTGGATTGGCGGCGGTCGGCTGCATTGCAGATGGTGGATACAACGTCTTGAGTGCATCCCTGGGCTGGCTGGCTGGCAGAACCTGCCGGCCCGGTGCCGGCTGCGCTCCTGACTGGCGCCCCGACGCCCCTGCCCCCGAAACACCTGCCTGCAGGGCAATGTGGACCCGGTGGTTCTATTTGGGTCTGAGGCTGCCATTGAGGAGGCGGTGCGCGACTGCCTGACCAAGGCGGGCGAGGGCGGCCACATCCTCAACCTGGGCCACGGCGTGCTGGTGGGCACCCCGGAGGAGTCGGTGGCCTTCATGTTTGACCTCTCGAAGAAGCTCACTTACAGCTCCAACAAGACGCCCGCCGCAGTCTGAGGGGGTGTGCGTGCTGGTGTGCGCCTGCCGCTGCTCAACGCACGAACGTTGCACCCGTCTCCTTCTTGCTCATCGTCCCGTCTTTCCCCTGGAACTATACCCACTTTCATGTCGCTTCACTGTATCCCTGACGCATATTTCTCATCTAGCATTGTAACGGCAGCACGCCGGCGCCACCGCCGCCACGCTTTGCCAGCGGGACAGCAGGGACAGCTGCCTGGGCGCCATTTTGATCAATCCAGGGCGTTTGTTGATCTGGGGTGGCCAGAGGGCAGGGCTGATGGCAGGTTGGAGCTGACTGGCCGCACGCGATGCTCGTCGAAAAGGTGCCGTGGTGCACGCACGAAGGTGCGCTCCTGCGGCGTGCATCCGCGGCCTGGTGACGTCGTGGGGTTGGTAGCAGCTGCTCCTCAGGCGCGGCGCTCGTTCCGATCAGATTGAGCTGGCGGCTCTCCATTGCCGCCCGGGAAGCAGCCTCGGCCCGTCGGCCAGCACACTGTTGCACCACCAGAAGCCGGTAGCGGCTCCGCGATCGCTGGGCCTACACCGGCGTGGGGCGGCTGTCAGCGGGCGGGTTGGGCGGCTACCCGGCTGTTGCTGTGGCCTGTGCAGCTTCGTGATTCTGCACCAATGTCAACTGCCAGCTGCTGTCGGGAGGCATCCCTGCTGCCTGCCTCCCGTAGCACCCTGCAAAGGCGCCGCCCTGCCGTCGGCGGCAGCGTGTGCGAGAACGTAACGCAACCGCCTCGCTTGCGGTGTGCTCCCCTGCCGCCGCGCCCGCAGGCGGCGTGTACACCATCCATGTGCAGTCCACGGGCCTGCGGTTTGCCACGGGCGGCGCGGACGCCCAGGTCAAGGTGTGGAGCATGTTGCCGGTGGTGGATGTGCAGCAGGAGAAGGCGGGCCCGCTGGTGCTGGCCACCCTCAGCGACCACACCTCCACCGTCAACACCGTGCGCTTCAGCAAGAACGGCAAGTACCTGGCCTCAGGTGCGCGCAGGGCGTGGGCGGGCGGGTGGGTGGGCGGGTGGGGAGGAGGGCGCCGACAGCTGGTCCGGTCTGCCCCCAGGGGCACCGGGCCGGGCTGGTTGGCAGGGACGGGTGGAATCGAGGGAGCGCCGGGCGCCTGATTGCAACGCCCATTCATCCGCGCCGGCTGGCAATCTGCATGGCGGCCTGACCCCCCGGCAGGCTCCGACGACCGCATGATTTGCATCTTTGAGCACAAGGCGGGGGCGGGCGGCGCCACGCTGGGTGGCGGCGCCGCCAGCGTCGAGAACTGGCGCACCCGCGCGGTGCTGCGCGGGCACAGCAACAACGTGGTGGACCTGGGGTGGTCCCCCGACGACGCCCGCCTGGCCAGCGCCAGCATCGACAACATGGTGTGCATCTGGGATGCGGCCAGCGGGCAGCGCCTGCACACCCTGGATTACCACACATCCTTTGTCAAGGGGCTGGCCTGGGACCCGGTGGGCACGTACCTGGCCACGCAGGTGGGAAGGGGGTGGGGGAGGGCGCTGGGCGCGCGCATGCCGGGATGGCCCACTCTT